CAAGGTTCCTTGCTTAATTCAGTCACCATACTTCAGGGATTGGGTTTTTTCTTTTTTTCTTATTTTTTCTTCTTTTGGTTTTTTGCTTTATTTTGTTTTTGCTTTTTTTAAAACCATCTCACCAATGCTAACTAAGCTCCTCCCAGTTTGTGCATCCTCACCTCACAGCTGTAAGGTCTGTCAATGCTACCCGCCCCCCGATGGGCCTGACTCTCAAGACTGTTGGTGCTGAGTCTTCTCCAAAGACGGCAGTTCCTTCATGAAGGACGGCAGCAAGGTCTTCATCCTATACCCCAGGCGGGGCATTCTTGCAATGAACTGTGTACTTCCTAATCTAAACCCTCAGCACACTTCCCAGGTTGTGACCAAGAGCTCTGGCCTGTAAGCATAGCTTAGATGGGGTCTACATGAAATACTTACAAATGTCATTGAAAATATACCTCAAATGTATCTCACTAGCCTGGGGAGACTTAAGCAGAGGGATCACAAGTTCAAGGTCAGCTTGGGCTATGTAACTATATTCTATGGGATTTTTTTCATTGCTTTTTTACAATTACACCCAATTTCCCTTTCACTTTATGTGATAGCTAAATTTGATTGTCAACTTGACTTGATTAATAGACACCTGAACCAATCTTGGACATTTCAAGAAAGGATTAACCAAGGAGGGAATATCCACCCTGAGTGGGAGGCACCATCCCATGTGCCCAGGGCCTTGATGGAATGGAAGGTTGGAAAGGAGAAAGCCAAGTGAATACCAGCATCCATCCCTCCATCCTAGACCCATGCAGGTGTGAGCATGCAACTTCTTTCTCCCACTGCTATGACTTCCCTGCCATGATGGGCTGTATCCCCTCAAACTGTAAGCCACAATAAACCCTCCCCTCACCCTTTTAGGCCGCTTTCTGCCGGGTGTTTCTCCCAGCACTGAGAAACTATCTAACACAGCTACTCTTCTCATTGTCAGAAACACACCCTAGGAGACTCTGGTCCCCACAGCAGATACCTACTTCCTTCGGGCCCCATGATGTCGTGGGAAGGGATCAAGACACCTCCTCAGAGGTACCTCTCTGCTGGTTCTGGCATGTTTTTCCAACTTCTCTTCATATCTCATCTCACTGCTGCTCATTCATGCCAATCTGAGGTCCCATCTACCTCAGTTTCCCAAACATGCCTGGGCTTCCATCATACTTCACCAGTACATGGCTAGAGACATGAAATGCAAAAGCACCCTCTGCAGGTTACCACGGGACAACTCCTCCATGCTCCCTGGGTTTGTTTGTTAGGGATTGAGTGCCGTCTGCCAGAGTTCCTTTAGGAGATATGCTTTTGAAACTCCAGTTAGGCTTTAAAAAATATTTCTCTCTCTCTCTCTCTCTCTCTCTCTCTCTCTCTCTCTCTCTCTCTCTCTCTAACACACACACACACACACACACACACACACACACACACATCTTCCCTAAAATTATCCTGTCTGCCAGCAGTTTCAAAAGTCTGACCAGGCTTTCTGCAGAGTCATTTATTCACCATATAATAAAAGCAATAGCCAGGCGTGGTGGCCCAGTACTGCAGCCTCAGCACTGGGAAGACTTGGGTGGGGGAAGGGGAGTTATGTTCAACGTAGAAAAAGGGAAAGGGGGAGGAGAGGGGAAGGGAGGAGGGGAATGGAGGTGGAGAAAAAGAAAGAAAAAGAAGAAAGGAAGAAAAGGAAAAGGAAAAAGAATGTCCCTGCTCTGGAAGTAAAGAACAGCTAAGCGCAGAAGGAAAATGAAGAAACCGTGGTTAAACACCCCATGTGGGCTCGTCTCACGGCATTCTGTGGCTCTCCTGCCACTTCTGAGTCTGCTGCATTGACCTGGCCATGCTTTGTATCCAATCTCGAGAGATTACTGTTCACGTCTGAGCCAGGCACAGGGATGAGACACTCTGGTGACCACTTGGTGGTACTTCTTGAAGTAGGTCGAAAGATCTTGTGAGATTTCGGCTGGGCTCACAGGACAAAAATGGACCAGTGTGGGGTGTGGAAGGAGAGGAGACCATACAGGGTCTTTCCCCCAAATCACTCAAGTGAATATTGCCAGAGGGCCTGTTGCTAACACAGCTTTCTGGGGAGGTAAGAGACACCAAGTCCTTCCTCCTAAAGTCCCAACAAGTAGAGGTGTGATTTTGCCAGTTTCCCCGGGGGAACCAGTGAACTTATTAGGCCTACTTATAGAACAATGGGTGACACATTACTGGGAGAAGCTAAGGTGGCCTTAAAGTAGTGGCTCTGGAAGGTCTTTACCTAGCATGAAGGCCGATGCCACCATGGCTGTATAGATGGAGCCCCCTCCCCTAGGCCTCCAGAGATTAATGGCTATCTAGGCAGAATGGCATCAACTGATTGGAAGATGTGGGCATCTACAAACCCAGCTATGATGACCTTTTGACCTTTTGCAAGCCTCCACAGCTGAGCAGATAAAGATGTGTCAGTTTGCCTCAGAGGATAGCCCTATACAACAGGACCTGATAAAAAGAGAAAACTCTGTACATAAAAAAACACTTAAACCAGGCGGTAGTGGCCTTTAATCCCAGCACTCGGGTGGCAGAAACATGCAGATCTCTGTGAGTTCGAGGCCAGCCTGGACTCCAGCTCCAGAGCTAGTTCCGGGACAGCTAGGGCTGTTACACAGAGAAACCTTGTCTCGGGGGGGAAAAAAAAGGAAAGAAGAAAGAAAACTGAAACAGACACTCAGAAGCAGGTTCACCCAGGGCCCAGAATCCACCTCATACTCTGTGCAAACAGCAAAGAAATGTGTCCCCTCTACACTGTCCCTCCCTTCTCCCTAGCACCTAAGCCTGTCTGTGGAGAAGTGAGGGAGAGGTTGTGGTTTTGTACCTTCAGGGAGAGGCAGTGATGGCTCTAACTGTTCCATAGACACTAGGAAGCACAGCTGGGGTGTTTGGTTCTGCTCTGCAATGCTGAGGAGAGGACCCAGGGACTCACTGATGCTATGCAAGCTCTCTACTACTGAGCCGAGTACTCCCCAACCTCTGCTCCGCTGGCGGCTGTAAAGTGAGTGACTAGAAAGGCAAGGTAGGGCTTTTAGCAAAAATTGGTGCAACAGTCGTGGGTAGACTGGAGGGGAATGTGGGAGCCCAGCCACCTCCTGGCAAAGTCCAGATGAGGTGCTCCTGAACAGGAAAGTATACAGAGATAACACGGATACACAACGGCAGGACAGCCAGATCAGGAGAGTTATGGTTGTCTTGCTGCCTGAGCCTGTAGCCTCTCTCTCTTCGTTTCTGGAGTCAGTAGGTCCCCAAACAGAAGCCTACCAGTAGAGTCCTTAACAGGGGACATGCCCTCTTCCCACATGACCCAGGGGACTTTCTGGTGCAAGGGTAGCTCTGGGCCACTGTGAGAAAGGTCAGCCTCCACTGCAGATGTGGCAGCAGCTTTAGCCTCTGGGCATTCCTCCAAGGCTTGGGATAATTCCAAAGCCCAATCAGCAAGTTAAAGCCAAAGGAAAGCCAACACAGTACCTTCCATCTCAGTGAGGTTATACCAGAAGATGTTTTGGACATGTCCAGGTAAATTCAGAAGGAATAGGGTGCTATATAACCCGGCAGGGGGAAGTGCAGAAGCAGTGGGGCTGTTCAAAAGGGTTCAGCCCTTAAAAGAACTGAGATCCTGTTTCTCAGCCAAGGCTTGGGGTACCCAAATCCATTCCCTTCCTCTCCCCTCAATCTTTTGTATTTCTATCTCATTTTCCTCTCCCAGCATGCCTTGCTCTCCCTCCCAACATGCCCTCTTTTCTCATTTCTCCATATAAACACGGAATCAACAAAATATACTTAGGGCATCCAGAAATAACCCCTAGCCGACAATGCATAACCATCTCTTCCAGATCTCCTATCTCAGCAAGGAGATGGCTGAGCTTTTCCAGTCTTCAATGGCGCATTCCTAACACACTATTTCAACCATCAGGAAAAGGGGGTGCATTCCTCAGTCCTGGCTGGGCTCCCCGTGCCTGGCTCCACACCACTGGTTTCCTTTGTTAACTACATGAGCGGTGGGAGAAGCAGGCGATCCTTCAGGCTCGCTCCAAGCGGTTCATCTCTCCTTGGCTACTTACTAACTTTGCTCCTGGCACAGAACAAGACATAAGGAGGTCACCAACCACAGGAGGCCGCAGGACGTGCCCAAGAACGAATTCCAGACCAGAGCGCTACGAGGAGAGTACAAGAATACAGAAGACTGAGAGGAATTACGGGAAAAAACTTCACCGGCAGAAACTGAGACACCTTCCAGGTGGGAGTGGCTGAGGAGAGGCCCCCAAAGTAAACAGAGCAGGCCTCTTTGTAATTGCGCAGTGCAGCTTGAGGGGAAAAGCTAGAGAGTTCAACTGGAGTTAAGTTTATAGAGGGCCTTGAATGCCAGGAATTTATCCCACTCATAGTAAAGAATCATGGAAAGCCACGGAACAGGGAAAGAGCATTATTAAGTGATGATGCTTAAGGAAATGTCCAACAGGGCCCTTCTTGTCGGGGGCCACAGCTGGAAACAGCGGTGGTAAAGAACTTCAATGGGCCACAGAGGTGGTTAAGAGCACCTGATGCTCATACAGAGGACCTGGGTTCAACCCTGAGCACCTACATGGCAGCTCACAACCATCTCTAACTCCAGTCTCCGGTACACATGTGGTACACACCGCACAAGCGAAGCAAGCAAAACACCCATACACATAAAATAATAAAACCAAAGAAATCTAAAAACAATTCTCTTTAAAAAGAACTTCCATTGCAGTGAACACAAGCCAAGGAAGGGAGGGGGTACATACGCACAACCCACTCATTGGTAACTATGGTTACCAGTGTGGTTACTGGCCACCACCTAAGCTACAAAGGATTCACAGACGAGAGGTTAGCCCAGGAAAGTGCAGTATCTCCCTCCTCCGAAAGTGGCCCAGGGCCACACCCTGTCTTCTTCCCCCACCTCCCACACCAGTCAATCTCACCAGAGTCAGGGAAGGACTCCAAGAGAGGCCCCTGTGGAGACTCAGGAAGTCCACTGCTGCTGGAGCTCCTGAGGAGAGAGAAAGGAAATCAAGAACAACAGCAGGTGGAGAGAGGGGTGCTGGGGAGCTCCTGCACGATCATTCTTTAGTATGACATCATGCAGGCTCTCGGTAGGGCACACAGACAACTCGCACCAGAGCTGGGCTCAGAGATACAAAAGGCCAGACACTGTATGGTTCTACTGATAGGAAATACCAAAAATGGGCAAATCCAGAGAGAGTGCACAGAATAATGGTTGCCAGAGAGAGTGGAAGCCGGCGAGGGGCAAGAAGAACTGCTCCATGGGGAATGTTCAGAAACTAGAGAGTGGGAAAGTCTGCAAAACACTGTCAACCCACAGCATCCAACTGAACCGCGCCCTTCAGATAGACCCTCTAATGACTGGAGGACCGAGTTCATGCTAAATAGATTTCCCATGACCTTTTCACTTCCTCCTATTGGTTCCTGCCAACTTGACCCAGGGAAGAGGGAATCCTGATTGAGAAAATGCTTTCCTAAGATTGGCCTGTAGGCAAGTCTGGGGTTATTGTCTTAATGATTGAGGTGAGAGGCCCCAGGGCAGTGTAGGTGGCACCGGCCACAGACAGGTGGTCCTGGGGTATACAACAAAGCCGGCTGAGCAGGGTTCCTTCCTCCACGGCATCCGATTCAGCTCACATCTCCAGGCTCCTTCCTGCCTTGAATCCCTTCCTTGCTGTTCCTCGGCGGCCAAGGGAGATGTGAAAGTTGTATGCTGAAATAAACTCCTCACCAAATTGCTTTTGATAATGGTGTTTTATCACTACAACCAAAACCCTAATCAAGACATCCTTGTTTTAAGGGTGGTTGGGCTTCGGCCATGGTTAGTTGTCATCCAAGGGCGCCTGCGAGGAGGGGAGGTTCAGTAACCAGATGGTAGGGAGTGGACTTCAGTGATGTGAAGGAGTGGGCCAGAGGTCAGCAGACTGGAATCAGAGCCTCGCTCAAGATAACAACGCCAGGGGCCGGAATGGGTGGCGCACACCTTTAATCCCTGCATTCAGGAGGCAGAGGCAGGCAGATATCTGTGTACGAGGCTAGCCAGGACAGTTCTAGGACAGGCTCCAAACCAAAAATAAACAAACAAAAAAAGAACATGGCCAGGCTGAACTGTCTGAAGAACACACATACACACATGCCCTCACACACACACACTATAATCATTGATACCATCCCCAAATATTTCCAAAGCACAAAGTGCTTTTTCGTGCATACAGTAAGATTATACTTTCTTCTGTGTGGGTGGGACCGTGTGACTAGTTAGCGCTGGTCAAGGAAATGCAAGAATTGGTCATATAAGTCCTGACACAAGGTCTTCCGGGAACTCGTGTTCCCTCTGATACAGACTCTGTCTTATAAGCCTGAGTCCAAGTGAGCATGCGCAAAACCCTTGCGTTCAAGCAAGCATGCGCAGAGCCTTTGTTAGCGTGCAGTGGACACAGAGTTTAAAGAGAATAAGCTGCCGCTGTCTGCATTTGCTCAAATCCTGGGTGGTTTGCTACTCCAGCAGCATCCTCTTCATCCTAAAGAGATCAACACTGGGCCCCTGGCAGCTTGGATGCAGTCTAAGTGTGACCAGAGACGTTAGTGGTTAGGAAAGCCAAATAACCCTTCAGTAGCTGCTTACAAGATAGGGTTGTGAGATTTCCTCTCTCCTCCTGTTGTTCTGGTCAAATGGAAAGCCTGAGAAAGCAGGCAGGCAGTGAAGGTGAACCCACCCCACTTTCCTCCTCAGGTTCCCATCCTTGAGCAGAAAAGAGGCACACATTAAATCAGATAGGATTTAGTCTGTGGCCCCACCAAGCAAAGCTATAGTAAATTGGAATGCATAGCAAGCAAGGAGAGCTTTGATGTCCCAGGCACCAAGGAAGGGAAAGCCCACAAGTCTTTATCAAAAGCAGTAATTGGGGCTCAGTGGGGAACCAGCAAGAAGATGGCACCTTCAGAGCGGGGTGAAGAGTTAAATAGGACAGGACTATTTTCGGAACGATAGGCAAGTGAGGAAAAGCCCCAGAGCCAGCCGCAGGAGGAAAGACTGGCGTTGGTGGTCCCGGAAGGGGATCCAGATAGCTGCTGTAATAAGAGTGTCCAGTGTTTATAGCTGAAATGTAAAATAGCCCCATGGGATCGCATGTTGAAGAGGTCACCGTCAGCTCCTCTGAAGGTTATACCTGATCCCTGTCCTCCCCACTCCACCCTCATCTTCCATGAGATGAACAGTTCCCTCCTCCCCATACTTCTGCTCCACTACCATGATGTCCTGCCTCATGAGACCACAGTGCCAAGTGAGCAACACAAGCTGTCTTAAACCATGAGCTATAATCTTTTAGTTGTTTCTTTCGGGTCTTTTGATCATGAGTGTGCAACAGTAGATAATACACCACTCTGCGCCCTCCTGGCTGGGCAGTGCTCTGACTTCTTCCATCTGTGGTCTGCAGCCAGGGTTCTGGAACTGCTGAAACCCAACAGTAATCTAGAGATCAGGCAAGCCTTTGATGCATCCAGGGGGTTCTGACTCCCAGGGACGGGATTGCATTATAAGGAAGAACGAAGAGTCCACCCAGAGGTCCAAATGAACAGGACTAGTTGCCTACCTCCGCGGAGCTGAGCGTGCCTGTGATTTTTGTCTGGTTTAGGAACGTTTCTTTTATGGCTGATGTTTTAAATGAGACTGGATGCAAGGGAAAGGAGAGTAGCTCCGTCAGGGAATGAGTGAGAAAGTAGAAGGAAAATGGCTGGAACTGCATCCAGGAGGCAGGGAAAGTGGAGAGGGCAGAGAAGTGACTGAACATGACTGCTAAGGAGAAAGCCGTGAATGCCGTCTGGATGACCCCCTGCCCCAACTCCAGGAGCTCTGAGAAGAGCAGGCGAGGGTCACCACTCTGTCAGGTAGTATCAGTCAGGAAACACTCCAGATGACAGAACTGGAAGGGTTAAATGCAGGGACCACTCCGGGTATGGACAACCTAAGAGAGCCAAGGAGGTCATTAGACACCTGAGGCTAGGGATGGTGGGAAGCATTTGCTATCTTCTCAGGCTGAAGGGCTGGGAAACAAGGGGAATCTGGAGACACAAAGAGCCCTTCTCCTCTGGGAGGGACTGTGGAGGACTCAGCCCAGCACCACTACCTCCCCATGAAGAAGCTTTGCCCCATCTCACCGCTGCCTGGATTTCCAGTCTTCTAGTGCCTTCCACTGGGTGAAAACAAGGACTCGAGGAGAGAAAAGAGATTGGATCTATGGGGAACCCGACCTAAAAACTGACCATTTTGCAGTAAATGAAAGCAAGAATGGAATACAGGAAATGAAAGTCAGGGAGGCAGACTGTTGTTGTTGTTGTTGTTGCTGTTGCTATTGCTGCTGTTATTGCTTTGGGGTTTGGGGTTTGTTTGTTTGTTTGTTTTTGCATGTGTAAAGAAGAGAGGGGACTGAAGAGGTGGCTCTGCCATTGAGAACACTTGGTGCTGTTCCAGAGGACCTGGGTTCAATTCTCAGCACTCACATAGTTGCTTATACAACTATCTGAAATTACAGTTACAGGTAACCAGGCGCCCTCTTCTGGCATCCATGGGCATTGCATGCAAATGGTACACAGGCAGGCAAATCACACATAAAACATAACTAATTAAAAAGAAGAGAGATAGATGGGAATTTGACTCAGAGATAGAATATCCATGTCATACAGGAGGTCTAGTCTCACTGTGGCACTTGGGTGGGTGGGGCAGAGAAAGGGAGGAGAGTACTGGAAACAGAGAAAGAGCCAGACAAACAGCTCATGCTTTAAACTGATAGCAGATGTCATGGTGGCAGGATGACCCTGGCTAAGACTGTTCTGAAATTACCTTCCATTAGAGCCAGGCATCTCTAAGGACCCCCAAAAACCCCCACGACTGAAGTAAGAGAGTAAATTGGTACAGAGTAATACGGCAACGTGGCATTTGCTTCTCCCTAACCACCCTCCGTCCCCAAGGAGCAAGACAGGAAAACAGCCTGCCTTAGTAACACAAATGTTAACACAGTCCCTGGATCCTCAGAGCTGGTTAGATCCAGTTCAAACTCATTCTCTCCAGAGGCTGGCAAAAGGAGTAGTTAGTCTAGATAAGCCTGTTGCATTTTCATGTGTCTCTCTCTCTCTCTCTCTCTCTCTCTCTCTCTCTCTCTCTCTGTGTGTGTGTGTGTGTGTGTGTGTGTGTGTGTGTGTATACATATGTGTGTGTCCCCACACCCCACCCCAGGCCTTTTGGAGAATTCAGTCCCCGACATTCCAACCCTAAATTATGTCCAGGCAACGTGCTGTATCTTACCGGACCAGCTGCCTTCTGGAAAAGCATTATCAACACAGTTAAAGAGGAAGGGTTCAACGCCTTTAGTTAGAATGCGAGGCAGGTGCAGGTGAGCACAGGCCAAGGCCAGTAGAATCCAGATCATTCCCTGCTGTGTAGTTAACTAGAAGAAAGAACTTAGAGTGCTATATTCGGCAACCTGAAGAGAAAAGGCTCAGAAAAGGGGACAGAGGTAAGGGGTCCTCGTCAGGTAGATTAATTTTGGCAAGAAAATGGAGAGTAAGCCCTTAAGACTTCAATTCGCTCCATGGTTCCTCTGTAAAATATGATAACAGGGTACAGCAGCTGGGCATGCTGGTAACTTTACAGCAGCTGCTTCCCAAACTGCCCCTCTTGCTAAGGGTGTAGTGACAGTAAAGACCCCTCGAGGCAACACACCTGAGCGTGCCTAGAGGGCAAGGTGGCATTTTCATTGCACCTTGTTTCCTGCGGACTGCCCTGTCTGGAGGTTGGGAAGCTCTGTTGCTGGTTCTATAAAGATGCTATATGGGCTTACAGCAGCCCCGCCTAGATTTCTTGTTGTGAAAGATACATTCACACTTCATGTCTTGAGAAAACACACACACACACACATATATACAAACAAGCCATCTGCCAGAGCAGAAGCAATTCAGAGGAGATAAAGGTAATAATCACAGTAAGAGCAACAATGCCTTGGTGATAAGCCCGTCCCATTTCCAAAGGTCACTTCCAGTAGGAGGTCTCAGTGAAACCCCA